GATAGATAGATAGATAGATAGATAGATAGATAGATAGATAGATAGATGATAGATAGAGCCCTTTGTGGCATGGAATCAGGTTATTTGCAGGATCACCTCTCTCCAATTCTTTCTATCTGTCCCATTGGATCTAGCAGGGTTCCAGGTCCCACCAATTAAACAGTACCACCAGGTTGAACCCGGAAATTTGCCTTCTATTCCAGTACCCCTGGAACACCATTTGTGGGGCCTGACTCTGCTACCATAACTCCTTGAATATCTGATTGTTCCTTGAGCATAAAGTCTGGAGGTTAGATGTGATTTTGTGCTGATTTGCTTGCCATCAGTGGAGTTGGTTTGCCTGCCATCATTTGATTAATAATTATAATGTTTTTGTTTTTATTTAGCTGTGGTGGAGCAGTGGTTGGAATGTAATATTGCAGGCTAACTCTGCCCACTGCCAGGAGTTCGATGGTGACAATCTCAAGGTTGACTTAGCCTTCCATTCATCTGAGGTCGGTAAAGTCAGGTCAGGTCCCAGATTGTTGGGGGCAATATGTTGACTCTGTAACTGCTCAGAAAGTGCTGTAGAAGCACTGTGGAGCAGTATATAAGATTAAGTGCTGTTGCTATTTGGTGTTGATCCTTTGTGCACTACTTAGAATTGCAATTGTAAGATGGACAGCTATATACAGTGCATAAATTTACAGACATCTCTAAAATTCTGTTTTCACTTTGTCATTATGGGGTACTGAGAGAAAAAATTAATTTCAACAACTGTAGAATCGGGCTGCAGCACAACAACATTGACAAAAGTGAACACTTTCTGAATGCACTGTAAACTCAATAAATCAAAGAAAGTGCTCTAACAGTACAGGAGTACAAGCAAAGAAGCAGATGCCTATAATAAGACTAACCCAACAATAGCAATCACCATCAGAACCCCAGCAAGGACACAGATGCTGATGAAGACAAAGTCACTGGTATCTTGAGCCTTGCTCTCATAGACAGCTCCTCCTCCTACATCCTTTGGCTGGGACTCCACCAGATTCTCAGCATACTGGTCCAGCCTGTAGGGATTAGAGCCAGAGATCAGATTCACAAGGGCCTCTTTCCTTTTAGGCTCACATTGCACTTCATATTGATGAACATCCTTCTGGTTTCCATTGGAAAAGTCAATGTACAGAATGCTGACAATCACACTTGTGTTGTTTCTTTTCTAAACAAGTGAAGGAAAGAACAGATTTCAAAAATAAAAACAGTTTCTGGCACACAAAGCTTTGATTCCAGATAAATAAGGACATTAGAATCAAGCTGAAGATGGGCTATACACAACAAGGGACATATTATGGCTTTCAGCCTTTGGTCCTGTAGTGCCGGGCGGGAAGCAAAACTGGATGTTTTTTGAGCCCTTGCTGAGCTGCCTGGCAAAGCTTCCCAGCTGCATTTGACTTCAAGATTCATATATTGTGCAAAGCTAAAAGGAGACAGGTGGCAAGATGCCATTACAAACCTATAGGTAAGGTTTTTGAGGGAAAATTGTGCATTTTGCAACTGCTCAGTGTGATAAATGGGTAGGCTGGCTAGGAATAATGCTAAGCTTTGTGGGTGTTCAGATGAAGTTTTGCGTACAGAACAATACCAATATTTTTGTGACCACATACTGAGATAAGGATCCACTTAGAACATATTATAAAACGATTTAAATAGAACCATGGTGTGCAAATCATTTAACCTGCTTGGGTATTTTTATTTTTGGGATTACCACTGGCAGGGAAATCTTCTGTACCTGTCCTAATGAATTATAAAAGAATATGTTTTATAGGTTGTGGTACCTCCCTTGTGGGACAGCAGTCCTGACCTTTTGGGCCTTTAGGAAGGTTGTATAAATCTGTTTTTTCCACCATAGGTTTTAAAGGGCATATTGGTAGGGGAACCCCATATAGCAGGGATTGCCAACTTTTTAGACCTCAGGGACCACCAACTCAATTTTAAATCCTGCAGACCAGAGACCCTGGGAAAATTAAAAAAACAGTCTGCAGGAAAATTCCCCACCCTGTTTTCCTACTGATCGATTGTTCTTTATTTGGGATCGCAGGATACCGTCTCCAGCTCCGTTCTCGGGGGGAGGGGGAGAGAGAGAGAGAGACTTTTTGCTTCATGCAAGGAAAGCAGCAGAAGCAGCAGAAGTCTTTCTCTCCTCCAAATTCCACCAGAAATGAGTCTTTATGAGACCTGTCGCAGCCTCTTGGAGAAGGATGCCTTGCAGGGTCCCAAAGACTCCATTTCTGGCAGAGTTTGGGGGAGGGAAAGAAAAACTTTTGGTGCTTTCCTTGCATGCAGCCAAAAGCAGAAGAAGAAAGAAGTGGAAAGAGGCAGCCCGGTGGCCAGGTGAAGTGCGTGGGGCGAGTGGGGCAAGTCCCCCCCTCCGCCCTTTCCTCCCTTCCCTCACTACCTCGTGTTGTTCGCAATGCAAGCGATGCAAGCCTGTTCCCGCAGGCCATGTGGACGGCGCAGCCTGGATTAATTGCTTTGGGGGGTGCTTTGGGGGTGACATTTCTCTGCAGACCACCAATTTTTTTCACGGCCCACCAGTGGTCCCCGGCCCACTCGTTGCCGACTACTGCTATATAGGACTCTTTGACTGAAGATAATGCATGAGCTGCCTCAGCTTTTGTATTTGTGCATTTATTATGTTTCCTTGTACTTGTATTTATGACCCTTTTATTATTTTCTATTGTGTTCCATCCAGAGTTATTTGCTTAAGACTGCTGGCATTATAAAGTTCTTCTTGTTGTGCCATCTTCTTGTGGGACATCCGTAATGACTTTTTAAAAAACTTAAAAATAGCAGCAGCAGATTGATGCCTTAATTGGATTGGATAGCGATTGGTGTCTATCTGGAATCTTTCTATCTGGAAGGAATCCATTATCAATGGAGGATTTTCTCTCAATGCAAAGAAGCAGAATGATCAGCAGGACCTCAGTAGGAAATGAGAGAGTTAAATTCCATTTCCCTGCCTGTGGTGATCCCCAGAAATAAAGATACCCAGACTAAATACAAAAGATGGAATGTTAAATCTAGTTTGGCCCTCTGTTTTTTATTATATTATCTGAGTATGTTTTAAATAAAAAGTGAGCATCTGGAATTATTTTGCTTAGTAAACAGACTATAGTTTTCCATATGAACTAATGCTTTTCTTCACAATTTCTTTTTAAAAAAATCAATTTCTCAAACTATCATCCAGAGAATGAGAATGGGCTTGTGTCCTTGAAAGAAAGTAAGCCACGATCACCCTTTTTATATAGTTTTACATAATATATAGGATAGAGAAGAAAGAAAGAAAGAAAGAAAAGCGGAAAAAAAAGAAAAAATAGAAAAAAGAGGAGAAGAAGAAGCCTACAAACCGTAAATTAAATAAAACAGTAATAATAAATTAAGTATAGAGGAAGACCCAATATCCCAATGACTACTTGAACAAATGGATGCTTGAATAGGGCATTGAGTAAAATTATTTGGTCTGAGTCAGTAGAGAGTTAAAGGTATTAATAGAGGTCTACATCACATATAGTTTCATGTCATAAATTACCATATCCTATATGTACATCCAATGCATAAAAAGACAAGTTAACAGTTTCTTTTATCTTCCTCTCTAAAATATCAGAGACTGTTTTTTTTAATGTGTATGTATATACGTGAGTGGATATAATACAATATAACTATCAGGAATCTTTTGTGTGCTAGCTACTTTGAGTGAATTCTTTGGCAATATAACAAAATATCTAGGACAGATGATTCAATATATTAAATAAACATCTATATTAGATGACCTATTCTTCAGTAATAATCATTTTCGACTTCAGACTTAATTGTCCAATGATATGAGTATATCATTGTTAATTTCATGAACATGTTAGTCTTGCCGCTTCTAATTATTTGCGCTCAGCTAGCAAAGCAACGGAAGGCTTCAGTGGACTTCATAGAAGAGGATTTCCCACACCAAACCTCTGAAACACATTCAGCAGCAGATGCTATCATGATCAAGATGTTACAGGAGCAATAGACCTTTCTATGGTTTTCATAATAACACAACTGCTGCTAGATGTGGGAGGTGGGTAGACAGCTCCTTTCATCTTGGCTTAGCATTAATAGCTAAAACTCTGCCCTTTCCACACAGATAATGTACTTGCGGTTCCATGCCACAGGTTTCAAATCTTGCATGTATCCGAAAGGTCAAGCCAACCACTTGTGCAGGGCAGGAGGGGACTCCTAAGTAGATTTTATTTCGCTCCAGCTGGGCCAAAGACTGTGTGGGGATTTGGATCTGAAACTCTGTTCTTGTGCAGCTGACATTCATAGGGACAACTACATTGAGGAGAAACAAAGCAAAGAAGGAATCTTTGAAATTACAGAATCATGACAAACAGCCAGTGAAACTTCCAGAATTAACACACCGGCACAATACTATCTATAAAGAAGATAATGTCCTCTCTTCTAATCTAAAGTCTTACACATGCACTAAATCACTATTTGATCCAGTTTTGGAGATAATAAGCCATATTTGTCTACTGTACAGTATATATATAAAACCTGTCATGTAGTTCTTGCTACAACTCCCTATGTACAGGGGTGGGATTCTACCAGTTCTCACCTATTCGCTAGAACCGGTTGTTAACATTCTAAGCAGTTCGGAGAGCCGGTTGTTAGAAGAAATTACTGGCCTAATCCTGTAAGGAAGGCAGGAAGGAAACATTCTGGTGTTGCTTACAGAAACTGCCTCTCCGTTAACCCTTTTTACATTCTTGGCAGGACTAGACTTCCTGTCTCAGGAACTACTCTGGAGTTTTTTTCCCTCCTTTGCTGGTACTTTGCTTGTGTGGAGTGACCATTCAAAGTTACAATGGCATTGAAAAAGTGACTTATGACCATTTTTCACACTTACGACTGTTGCAGCAACTCCACAGTCATGAGACGCCAGGTGAGGAGATGCATGCCTCGATGTGAGTGATATTGAGTTGGCCACATCCAGCCAATAATATAACCACCAAGCCATGTCCACCCAGTCACATGACCACCAAGCCATGCCTACCACCTAAGCCATAGAACTGGTTGTTTGAATCCCACCCCTGCCTATGTAGTCTCCTATAGATAACAATATTTTGAGAATCTGTATGAAATATATCAACTCAGAGAGTTTTCTGCTGATGTTAGATTCTCTGGATGTAACTGGGTTGTGAAATTGATTAGGAAACAGGGTTAGAGTTGGGATCTCATGATCTCTAGTTTCCCCAAGTAATTGGTGGGCAGCAAAATGTTGCTGTTGTTTTTAAAAACCTGACCAAGTATACATGTCTCTGTATGTGTCTTTTCAGTCTGAATATTGAACTTAGGAAGAAGTGTTGCAAATTCTCCCTCAAATCTGGGCCCAGAGAAATTGGGTGGCAGTTTATCCAAATTGCTCCAGAGAAAGGAGAACATCAAAAATTTGTCCACGGTAGGGCTCCCCCTTAGCAGTGACACTTTTGAAAATCCCTACATGATTTTTAAATTCCTTGGATTTAACTGATACGTGAGAAGCTAGCAGGGTTGCTGAACATTCCTAGAAGGAGAGGAAAGAGGAAGCACATTGATACAGATCTCTTCTTGGATAAATCATAAGTAAAAGAGCACAAGAATACAATGTTTCTCCAAAATTATTTGCATCTTTGAAGAAATATCTAAAAAAATTATTTCTACTAAACTGAATGAGAGGTAGTACAAAGAAATACATACAGTACAGTGTTTCCCAAGCATTATGCCAAGCGTGTAGCCTTCACAGTCATTTCAGTTGCTCAGGTAGTTTTAATATATTCTGCTCATGGTCCAAACTCAATACATACAGTATTGCGCTGTTTGTGCATCCTGTACTCTAGTTATATTTTTAGAAAGCTGACATCATCACAAAGTCTCCCACACTATAGATCTTGCTATATTGGAAAAACCAGTGTTCATTACTTCAACATTTAAAGTAAGAATGTTATCTGTTTCTGTTCTGATATACTACCAGCCAATATAGAGTACTTCATATATATGCCCAGGCCTAAAGACAGCCCTTAAAAAAACAACACCTAGATTTAAAAAAAGAAGTTATTGAAAGAACAAAAATATTATATTGGTATTTAATTACCCTACATAATCTTACAATTATATCAACACCTATTTCATAAAGTTTTTTTTTTTCAAGCAGTGGGATACATTATGAAAAATTGGTACTGGGTGGAGCTAAAGTAGGACAAAATGAAACAAAAGATGGATGCTTTATCCAGATAATCCTTGTTTAGCGACTGCCTTTACAACAGTGATGAAAAAGTAATTTTACAATCCTTGCATTTATAACCCATGCAGGTCTATAAAGGAAAGAAAAGTAAGATTATAAGTATTGTTCTAGTTTCATTTAGTGACTGTTTTGCCTCATAACCAAGTTGCCAATCCAAGTTGTGGTCAACTGAACAAAGGCTACCAGTAGCAAAATCATTATTGTTATTAGTAATTTCTATATTAATTCAGACTCCTTTCTCTTGCCTGTATATACAGGTAGTCCTCAACTTACAACCACAATTGAGCACATAATTTCTATTGTTAAGTGAGATGTTTGTTAAGCATGCTTTGCCCCATTTTACAACCTTTCTTGCAGTTGTTAAGTGAATCACTACAGTTGATAAGTTAGTAAACTGGTTGTTAGGTAAATCTGGCTTTTCCATTGACGTTGCTTGTCAGAAAGTCACAAAAGATGATCCCATGACCTTGGGACACGGCTATGGCCATAAATATGAGCCAGTTGCCAAGCATCTGAATTTTGATCACATGATTGTGGGAATGCTGCAAAAGAATTTATTGTGAAAAATTGTCATAGACCACTTTTTTTCATTGCTGTTGTAACTTTGAATGGTCATTCAACAAACTGTTATAAATTGAGGGCTGTATAAATATTAGAATAATTAATCAGTGGAATGGATTGACTTCAGAATTTGTGGGTGCTCCAACACTGGAAGTTTTTAAGAAGAGATTAGACAACCATTGGTCTGAAATGATATAGGACCTCCTACTATCTCAACATCATGGATAAGGGAATAGTTTTGTACAGAGATGAACAACTGTGTGGTGGAGTTTTATATAACTGGCAGCAACAATATAAGCAGATCATCCATTTAAAATCTAAATTTTCAGGACCAAGAAGGCGGTCAGACATAGAAATATGTTTAGAATTTGTCTAAAATATATTTTGGTAGAGGTTTTTCCAGTTGTGGTCTCTGTTTTTGCTGCAGTGTTGAAAACTTGTAACCACAAGCAGGCCAATGAAGGATCCCGAAAGAGTAATCAGGTTGAATTTCACATAATGATCTGAACTAAACAACTAAAATTTTGGCTCACCCATGTTTCTAGAGATTAACACCACTTCCAGAGAGATTGTACATATTGGGCAGGTCCATTTATATTGAAGCAGTGCTTGGAAAATTTTTATTTCCCTTTGTGATTGGAGATCATTCTTCACCACATAGTGAGAAATCGTGGAATAATTTCAGTCTGTGACCATATCCCTAGCACCAGTTTAAATTCCTCAAGGTTGAAAAAAAAAAAAGGTGCATTTCTAATCTATTCATTTTAGGGGATAGAGGGCCCAGGGCAAAGAAACAGTTAATGCTGAGTGATGCCTTCTGCAAACACATAACAGATGAGTCTCAGACCAATCCCTTATGAGTACTGAGGAAATAAATTAGTACATATTCTAGGACCTCATAGTTTAGCTAGAAGAAAAATTTAGAAAAATGCATCTATAGTTTGAGATAATGCCACTGATGTGTGATTGTGGAATAATGATTAAACATAATTTTTATACATGTACATTCTTATACAGTTCTTATACATGTACAGGTACAAATCCTGTGTTACATACTTGACATTTTTAATACTCTCAAAATACTAAGACTGATATATGTGTGGATGTAAAATTAGAACAGAAAAATAACTGGCAAAGAAAGTAGATGGTTCTGAATACCTCAACCTGATTCTAAATCGATTAGTAAATAAGGCAACCCAAATAATGAACTTGTCTGCATTTATGCTGAACATCTCTGGAACTGCTCTTGTGCCATAAAGCTGGACATTCTGTTGGTGTAGAAAAAAAATATACCCAATAATAACACAATTTTAATAGAATTCTGCAGTAAAAATAAAAGTGTATATGATAAGCAAAATCAAAAATGCTTATAAAGATGCAGTTCCTAGAACAGTCAAGAAGGAGCTAAGGTAACAGGAGACCTATTCATGGCCATGTAGAGTTTGGGTGAAGATGGGGGAATTTTCCAATTAAAAAATTCAAATCTAGAACATTCAAAATGATACCTTTAGCAGGTTCTAATTCAATCTGGAACCTTCTGGTACATTTAAGAGCTTGTTTATATACATCAATGGGAAAAAAATAAAGTTGGCTGACACTTATAACTTAAACATTAGTTACTGTGGATTTCATTATTCAGGAAAAGCTAATTTCCATATATATATATAGTAGCATTCTAGAACCTTTGTGAGCTAATTATCTTCAAACTATTTTTGCTTTTCTTTTGATCATCTCATTTTTATTTTATTCCACATAGTTTATCTAATAATAGATCTTACCTCCAAAATATGCTACCGAGAAACCTCGGTTGGCTGTATTTCTGTCAGTGTGAAGGACCAACAGCAAGTTGTTTCTACTGGATATAATTGGAGATAGCATTTCTCTCCCACACCACTTTCCTAGTAGAGATGCCTTCTCAGTACCTCCATCAAACACAGCCAAATGGTCATAGTCGCAACCATCTGTCAGGCTGTTCCGTCCCTCGAGATCCAGGTCCAGGAAGAAAACTTTGATTCGATAACCTAGTGGCAACTGGATGGTCCATCGACACTTGATATTATTGGGGTAAGAGTGTGGATATTGAGGACTGGAGAAATTTCCTTTGACAGCGGTATATACCTCCTGACATGCACCTGGTTGTAAGGGAAAAACAAATGAAATACAATGGCAAGCAACAAAAACATTCATTTTATTGTGTAGGACCACCTAGAATTCTTTTCTTCAAACTTCTTTACTTCAACACATTTCTAAATACTTTTCTCTCTGCTCAGACTTGGTTTGAAGCTATGATATAAGGGATACAAATAATAAACCATTAAATTGGTGGCCTAACCTAAAAATAGCTAGAATTGGAAAACGAGTAGCTGATAGTAGGAAGCAGCTACTGTATCTAAGCCTACCATTGTCAGAAGCCAATGTCATGAGAATTTTATATTGCAGTTTGGTTTAACATTGTCAGTCATTCAAGACAGACCAGATTAGGAAACCAAAGTCATGCATGCTAATATTCCAGTACAGAACATAATCTTGCAAGTCTGATTGCATTTCCTCCCCCCAACTTATCTTCTTGTTAACTAGGGAGGGTCTTGTCTAAGACAAGTTACAGTTTTGGCCCAGGTTCAGATTTCTTTTATCTAACTGTCTCAGAGATGCTTTTCTAAAAGGCAAGTGGATTTTCTTGGTTTTTTTCTTTGAAAACGTTTCATTTCTCATCCAAGAAGCTTCTTCGGTTCTTCAGGGATGAGATAGTCTTCAATTTCATGCTTCCTCACCACCATCCCTATCCAAATGCTTTTCTTCAGCTTGTCTCGTAATTTTCATGCTCCTAGGATTTTTACTCATATTTTTTGTGGTCAAGATATCTTCTGAATTTGTGCCACATATCCTAAGCTGGTCTAAAGCTTAGGTTCTCCAGAATATGGTAAATAATGTGGCAGTACATTCAGAAAAAAATATTCAGCAAACTAAAATGATAACTTTATCAGTTGTAAATAAATAATAGAATTAATGTCATATATAGTTTTAGTAAGCATTGGGGGAGTCCTTCTATTAACAAAACACAGAAGGTTTAAGATTCATTACAAAGGCTTTACTTTATCTGTTGACTTTAGAATAATGAAGCTTTCTCTTTCAATGTAGGCAGAATCTCATATTTTGAGCAAAGAATAGTGGATATCTATCATTGGACTCAGTCATAAGAAAAATGAGATAATTTTTAAAAAGCTAAAAACTAAAAAAAGTTACACAAGGTTAAAAAACATTTAAAAATACATTTTTTTAAAAAAGTGTGTGTGTGTGCCTATACACACACAAGGTTATATTAACTTCTTGGAAAATAATGCCACATATATTTTACACCTATAGAAATACTGTACATATTTGGAAATATGTATAAAATAAAATAAAAAAAATATTTTGTGTTATTTTTCAAGAAGGTTCCAAAAATCATTTCATTTCATATCATAATATTGATATGTGATAAATATTAATCTTTGTACCATACCTGAAAAAAAATATGCCTTGAAGCCTTTGTTAGCAATGTTAAAATCTGATTTGAATACAACTAACAGTTCATGTGCAGAAGATACCACCTCTGGAGGTTTTGTGTTTCCACAGTAGTAACTGAGAAGTGCATCTTCCATTGTGGGCCCATCAAAGATGGCCACATAGTCAAAATTACACTGCTCGCTCTGTTCCATCTGGAAGTCAACAAAAATCAGTTTGATGATAGAATTGGGTGTTCCCTGGATGACCCAGTGGCACTCAGCATTGTTGGGATAACTCTCTGGGTAATCAGGGCTTGTGATTGATCCAGACAATCCTGTGAGCACACCCCCACAAACATCTGGAAGCAAGAAAATACAATATGTATTAAAATAAGACACAGAGATAGAAATAAGCAAAGTTCCTTTGTGGATTCAAGGTGCATTCCTCTGCATTACAGAAAATAATCCTAACCATTGTCCAGATTATGACTGAATAAAAGAGAATATATATACAATATCTCAGTGTTAAACTAGTAACCCCAAGTGCAGCCTGGCTAAAATAATTTCCTATTTTCAGATTGTTTACTCTGGAGTAGTCATATTGAAACCAATATGCTTTCCTTCCACATCACTAATGGTTTTGGAGATTATAGTTTCAATTGTTGGGTCAATTCTGCTTTCAATTACAGCAAGATAATAAGGAAGAAGCAATAAAAGTACATTGGGAGGGAGAGCAGGATAAACCCTGAAACCTTTTCCTGCTGCTGTTGGCCGCTGAGTGGGGGGAAAACGTGTGTGATTTCTGGATCTTTTGGATCAATGTTCACGAAACACCTTTGAGAAAAATGAATGGATATATTCGTGTGTTTGTGCGCACTCTGAGTGCACTACTTTAAAAAATAATAATTAAGACTTTGCATTTTGCATTATACTATCTGATGATCCCACAATGCCATTTTTAAAGCTTTAATCTAGAATGGTAACTGATTTTGAGGGAAGTTTGAGCAAGGTTTTTGAAGCAGTTTGAACTCCAAAAATGACTGGCAAGTTCCAGAAACAGTTCCTGTTCAGCTATAAAACCGATGAAGTGATTTTTGCTATTTTCATGCTAGGGTGAGGATTTCGGAGTAGGCTTGCTGCCTGAGCAGTTCAAAATAGCTAATACACATCATGAAACTTTAATAAAATGTAATATTACATTTATTTATTAAATTACATCCTGCCCTTTACTCAAGAGCTCATCATTCTCTTTACGCCCCAACTGTTCTATAGAGGAGGTTGAGCTGGGAGTGACTGGTTCAAAGACGCCCAGAGAGCTTCTGTGACTGAAGGTGGATTTGAACTTGGTCCTCTCGAGTCCAACATTTAAGTTGTGAACAACACTGGCAGAGAATGAACAATACTTAAATGGATATTCTGAAATGTATGGATGTGGCATTAATATTCTTACATACAATCTCTTTAACAGAGTTATTTCTAGAATTCAGAGGAAAAGTACAAATATTTTAATGTATTTGTATTCCACTTTTATTATGTTTACGAATGACTCAAGGAGGTGAACATATCCAACGCACTTCTCTCCTCTTATTTTCCCCACAACAACAATCCTGTGAGGTGGGTTGGGATGGAAGAGAGTAACTGGCCCAGCTGGCTTTCACGGCTAAGACAGGACTTGAACTCACAGTCTCCCACTTTCTAGCCTGGTGCCTTAACTACTAGATAAACTGGCTTGGAATAATTTAGACTACTTAAATTATCTCTAACCTCCATAAAGATGAATGGAATACACTGCTTAATTACATGTTGTTGATTTCAAGAAAAATATAAATATCTAAGTCTGAAAAAGATGGCAGGTTGTTTTCTAGATGCTTTTGGTAGTTTTGAAGCATTTCTCCAAAGGCCAGAGGAAAAGAACAATCTGCATTCATTATTAAACTGAAAATGAACTCTATTTAAAGCTAATTAAGAAATAATTTATTGAAATACAGAATAGTAGCTTATTGCATCTGGAATCATGGGAAGCTGCACCTATTCTACAAGAGAAATTGAAAGCACCAACCAACCAAAATAATTACACGTAGGCATAACATGCTTTGAGACCATTGAATTAGTGGTCAGGTTTGGACAATACTTTAAGCATAACCTATGGTTTGCAGAGCACAATGACCAATTCACACATCACATAAAGTCAGAATCAAACTAACTACATTGTGTCTTAGAGATGTATGTATCAAATGCTGGGTTTATACATCCCTCTAAACATTAATGTGGTTTACTTGGTTTGGGCTTATTAAGATCCACAAACAGTTAGCAAATCAGTTTACTTATACATTGTCTATCCTGCTTTATCACTGCAAAAATTCCACAGTGTGGGACCTTTACATATTGCCTGAAATTACTTCATCTCATCCTTTGTAGAAACTTACTACTTCTCAAGCACCCAATACCAGCAAAATTATACAGATTCTACAATATTGTATGATATAGTAACTCTTAGGAGAAATCCAGGTGAAAACAATTCTGACCTTTTTGGTAAACTGCTGAGAATCCTTGACTGGCCACATGGTTATCTGAGTGAAATATTAGAGTCATGATATTCCAGGATGAGGTAAACGGTGGAGGAAAACTTGTGCCACAAAATTTACCAAGCAGATTTCCTTGATCTTCAGAAACCCCATTAAAGATCTTGATGTAATCAAATTCGCAATTATCATGATATTCCAGGTCAAAATGTTGAAAAGTGAGCAGTACAGAGGATCCTTCTGTTGCCACTATGAGCCAGGTACAATCTATATCGTACGGATAAAGTCCTGGGAAATTTGGGCTTGAAATATTGCCGTATGGTGCTGACAGAAGTCCACCACATTTAATGCCTACAGAAAATATCAACATTTGAAGAATAACAGATTAGCAACTAGAATAGCCCACATTCTGGATGTTGTCTCGTCTTTTTCTAAAAGCCTGTTAAAATGCCTGCAGCAACTGATATTCCCAAATAGTTTTCCCCCTCCCAAACTAACCAGGCCTGATTATTAAGCTTCAGGATAAAACATGAATTTGTAATTAGTTAATTCCCTTTTAGAGCATGCAGGCCAGGGATAAATCAATTTTTGAGGACTGAGACTAGCCTTTCTTTGCCTTTTTAAAATAAAGGCATGATGTCTCCAAAGTGGCATAAAATGGACTAATTTTGATATTTTTAAAGGATTTCGATGTGGACCCGCACATAATGAGCCTTGAATCTGCAAGGCTCAAGTTACTCATTTCATTCATTATAAAAAATAATATTCTGCGTGACCTGATCTTACTTGGGGAATCTGGAGCTGTAAAACAGAGACTTAAAAGAACAAATGGAGATTGTGCATAATAGGTTATATTGCTTACAAATATCTTTTTAAAGCTTATCTAAAACTCATTTGACCATTTTAAAAAGTTTTTTGTATCCCATCTTTTTATTTTTATAAATAATTCAAAGTAGCAAACATATCTAATACTCTTTCCTCCCCCAATTTCCCCCACAATCACTACCCTGTGAGATGAGTTGGGCTGAAAGAGAGTGACTCAAAGTTATTTTTACTAATTGAAGTCAATTCATTCATGCTAAATCAGATTTGGGAATAGTTTTGATATATATCCAGATAAATGACTAAAGATACTAAACATGCCATAGTATAATGTTCTGTACTAATCCTTCAAGAATTTGGGAGACTTGGTTGACTGAAAAAAAACAACATTTAAATAAAATTGGGTAACATGTACAGCAAATAGATATTTTAGAGTAGATAGATTTATTCTTGATTGTTTCATTTAATTGTTTTAATTAAAGATCATTTCTATTCTGTTTATACCTTACAATGTTTTTTTAAGGAAGAAAAGCAATGCACATACACACATTACAAACAAGAAGTTTCTCTGTGTGATATATAAAATTGAATTACTGACCACATATAACAGAATTAACAACTAGGGGTTACCTTTGTTTGATTAGTCAACATACTTAGAAGACTCCTAGTTAGTAATGTATCATTACAAAACAATTTAGTTATAGCAGTCAAAATGATAATTACATTTCCAGGCTTAATCATTAGTCCAATAATAGACAATATCCTCAAGATGTGTTTACATCCCTAACATTTCTTGAAATTACCCATTTGGACTGTAAGTTTTGTTTTGCAGCATGCACAAAAGAGCCACATTCATGTTTAATTAGAAATGAGTCTCACCAAGTTCAGCAGGATTTCACACTGGAAGATTTGCTATGATCTCAGCCATTGAAATACTCAAATGCAGGTCAAGTGTTTTCTTCTAGTGCCATTAAATAATTGTATCTTTTTTATTCTAAATTTTTGGCAGCAATTACATGAAATCTAAAAAAACAAATTAGCTAGTTGACTCCAATATACTTCATAGCTCAGTTCCCATTAAAATTTTATTCAACAAATATAGAACTTGTGTGTGTATGTGGGGGGGGGGATGTTAAAGTGTAGAACAGGGGTCTTCAAACTTGGCAACTTTAAGACTTGTGGACTACAACTCCCAGAATTCTGGAAGTTGAAATCCACAAATCTTAAAGTTGCCAAGTTTGGAGACCTCTGGTATAGAACAAGAGGGCTCTGTTCATCAAATCTCTCCCTGGATCTGGGCTTGATGTCACAGTGGACTATCTTCATATCAACTTGGACCAGCCTGAATTCTTTGTAGAGCGCTAGATAGACCTTACTGTACTGGAGTATATAACACCAGACATGTCAATGGAAGGCAAAATCATGAAACTGCATCTCACTTATTTTGAATATGTCATGCCAGAGATTTCACTGGAGAAAACAATTAGTTTGGACTCGGTAAATGGAAAACAGGCTGCTGGACACCATCAAAGCTGACACCAGCTAGAACATAGAAAAATTCAAAGTAGTAGTAAAAGATTGGAAAATATGGAGATATCTGGCCCAAAGAATCACCATGAGTCAGACATGATTGAATCATCCTCATCCTCAGATTGGGTTTACAGACAAGGTGGTCTTTGAATATATCCTATATATTGTCCAAAGAGGACAGATTAAAAAAATGTTTAAGCTTTTTGGAAGCATCATTTACTTCCTTTTGAATTTACATTATTCAGTAGACCAGCTGCCTGATAGTTTTCTGTTTCAGAGTAATATGATTGTTCTTTAACATTTGTGTCTCGTTATGATCCACTTGCATTTCATTTTGCCAATATTGGCATTTGTTTTGACATCAACAAAATTACTTTCTCCACAATTGTGTCCATAACCAACAGATATTAGTTCTTTTTCTTCACCAGAACATGCCTTTACCATGTCTATAAGAGAGTAATTAAAGTCACCTATTATTATGACACTTTGAATATCTTAATGCTTTCCTTATTATTCCTTTTCCTTCTATGTAAATTAGAAGATTCCACATTAGAAAAAAAATCTTATTTAAATCTTAGTTTCATAGATATGTTTCTCCAAGATATCATGTTGTCTGACTTTATGCAATTATTCATTCTCTATGGAAAATATACTTTTTAAATTGTATTTTTCTCCTTCCTTCCTTCCTTCCTTCCTTCCTTCCTTCCTTCCTTCCTTCCTTCC